TTCCTTTGATTCACTAGAGTTAGAATACTCAAAATAGGTTCCAAACAGTGATAACTGGAAGCAAAATGAGTCTAACCCTGATAAATTTGAATGTTTACACAAGTTAGACATTTCGGGTTGTTACAGTGTCCTCTTCAGAGATTAATCGAGCATCAATTTCTTGGAAGATACTCACCAACTCGTTGTAGTAAGTTGGTAAGGATCGCCCACTTTGACAAGTAATGAAAATCCCCAATCGATTACAATAGTAGCTCTTCAAAATCGTCTTCTAAATATGCAAGAGAATAAAAAGAAGGAGATGCATCATTTAATTAAGGAATGATACTAAGTTTGTTTTCAAACTCCATCAGTAAATCTCATAGGAACTAGATCTATCAATAGTACCACACAACCCTAACATCCTTTTTAAGAAAACCCTATTTTATACCACCAAAAAAAAAAAAAAAAAAAAAAAAAAAAAAAAAAAAAACTAGAAAAGCTTATCGATATATTTCAAATATAATAAAAAAAACCATTTTAAAATTGTACTTCAGATTATGGACTAGGATTTATCTTTCTCATAGTAATATTGATATTATTTTTGGTTCTTAAGCTAACTACAACTTCGATCAAGACTTAAATAACCTAAATACATCATGACACATCGAAAAAAATTATATTTTATTTGGAAAAACAAAGACATTTTATATTTGTTCATCGCATTCTGGATTTGTTATACGCTCTTCTAACACAACTTTTTAGACTTTTTAACTACAAATCATTGAAACAAAAATACATATAACTAACATGGTTCAAGGTATTTTCCTCTATCTATGAATCCATATTTCTTCTCGTCGAAAATTTTCAGATAATCTAGACCAAAATTCTGGAATGTGTTAGGCACCACATGTGATAATTTATTTATATAGCAGAATTAATATTGATAAATTCTATACGTAAACACCCCCCCCCCCATCCAAAATTGTTGTGTACCCTCATGTAAATATAATAGTGCTTGTGTACGCCATGATGTGACGATTTATGTGAATGAATGTGATACATATAATAGCACCCATTATATTAATTTCGAATTGTTTGTGTTATTTTGCATTTTTACTTCCAACATTTATATATTATCGACTTCTAGATAAGTAGTTACTTAGTTGGTAAGGCCAAGTATTTGTTGAAATGTTTTACTTGTGAGTTTCACAAATATTATCACCTTTTAAAAGGCATATATATGTTAGTCAAAAGATATAAGATCCATTATATTTTGATGTGTAAAACCTTTTATATGGATCTATAAACAAGTTGAATAAATATAAATGTTTTCAACTTTGTATATTTGATGTGATCTTTTTCCTTTCAATCTCAACATTGATTCATTAGAAATATGAAAGAAACACGGAACAGTATAAATTTTCATTATTGGAAGATTATTTCAAACTTAAACTGTACATGTCGTGTTCAATCAAATATGTTGTCAATTTCCGTTGAATTATGTTTCCTTATAAGGAGATACTTTCTTTGTCTAAAAGAAATATCACATCTGATCGGAAGAAAATGTTTGGTTTTCACCTAATATATCTTAAACAATAGTAAACAATATACGAAAATGCTATGAAGGAAAACTAGCGTTCCTGATATTTATATGTATTTATTAACGGATTTAGAATTAAAGTTAACAAATCTTAAATTGGTTTCAAGTACAATCTTGTATAAAGTCAATAGATAAAAGATTAATTGTTTGAATTAAAGGTGGATGAGTTTTTTATTACTTTCTTCCTTGAAAATTTATATTTAAGTTTTGAAAAATTAAATATTTTTTTATTTTTGTTTCTATTGATTTTATTAAAATGTGATATTTATCATTATTTTACATGGATAGGACGATAAGTATGATGAAAAGATTAGATGATATTTAATTTCTCATAAGCTTTAACTATTTTTAATATGTTTATGTTTATATTTAATGTTTTGAAAACTATTTTTAACAAATCAGTTTTTAATTATTTGTTATTTTACATTTTAATATTATTATTATTATTATTATTATTATTATTATTATTATTATTATAAATTTCGAAACAATAAATATTTTAATAAGTATGTTTTCAAAAAAATAAATATAAATATAAACATATTAAATTTCGAACATTATTATTATTATAAGTATGTTCAAATTTTCGAAACTGATTTGTTCGAAACAATGAATATTTTAATAAGTATGTTTTGAAAACATTATTATTATTATATTAATATTAATATTATTATTATTATAAATTTCGAACAAAATTTTATAATTCGGACGACATTATAAATTCGAACGACATTATGAATTTTATAACGTCGTCCGAATTATAAAATTTTGTTCGAAATTTATAATAATATTAATATTAATATAATAATAATAAAAATAATAAAAAAAACAAAATAGAAAAAAAAATCAAATCAGAGGGTAAAATTGAAAAATAAAGAAAATGCTTATAGAAAACCCTATTATAAAGAGTGCATGAAGTAAATATTTATCAAGTGGATATTTATGAAACATTTAACAAGCTTTTATAACATTGACTTTTCCAAAAAAAAAAATAGAATTTAAGAGCGTTAATAGTACTTGCCTCAAAAATAAAAATAAATGATATTTTTTTTTTAGGAATTAAAGAATTTGATAGAGGCGACAAGTGGGAGTAGTTGTTAAACATAGCATATGATTCCACATGATTCAATTTCATGTCTAATCTAACCAAAAAGTAAATCAAATCTCTTTACAAGATTTCCATGTCTGAAAACAAAACATAAGACATTGTCACATCAATTAACCTTCTTGCTTTCATTACACTTCTTTCATATCCTTTTTGTCTATTTATGTATTATCAAATCAATGCTTTTATAGCAAATTACATTTTTGGTCCTTAATATACCCAAATTTGATTCCAAAAAAAAATCATCTTCCAATTATCATCCTTATTTAAGTTTTTTACAACATTTTTCATTCATATTTCATATAAAAAAAATAAACACATCGAAGCTCAAATAGAAACCAAAAAGTTACAATAGAAAACTTTTTACAACATATATATAAGGACCAAAAATGTAATTTACTCAAGTTTTTATATTAGTTAATAACAATCAAACAGAAATTTACAACTTGAAAGATCACCAAAAATGAATTTCCTTCAAATATATACAACTAAAACTCAAAACAAAAATTTACTATGAAAATGGTTGATTCTACAATTAAAAAATATATATAATGTACGAAAAAAATGATTTATTGCTATTTTGTGATCCAGTAAATCAGAATTAAAAACGTGCAAACGGAAGCAACTAAAGAAAGAATTATTGTGTCCATAGACTTCTTTTTGTTTATCGCGGATATAATGCTATTCACCTGTGAATAAAATAAAAACATTTCATAAATATTTTTATTAATATAAAGAAATAAAATCAATTAATTAAAAGATTTAAAAAAAAATGTTTAGTTTTACGTACAGTTGGAAGGCGGCTGCTAACGTTGCTAAGTTTCGAATTCACTCCTCTAAATGTTGACCGTTGAAACACAAGCGCACGCAGGGTTTCTTGTGCTTGGGATATTACACCATCCATCTGCACAACAATAAAATGACATATTTACCCTTATGTAATTATATGTAAAATGACAATTTTACCCTTATGTGATTATATGTAGGGATCCTTTATATGTAAGTACTAAATACAAGATACAATATATAATTTTAAGTAAAAAACTAAACATAATACAAGTTGGGTTTTTGTTCACATGTTAACTCATAATCCATGTGAAATGACAACTATACCCTTATGTAATTATTTCAAAAAAAATTAGTATTTGTTTAACTTAACTTTGTTATTATATAAAGTGTTGTAATACAGTCATAAAACGTGTTTCTTTTCTGTACTTAATAAACCAAATCAATGGGTAAATGACCATTTTACCCTTATATGGTAAATGACCATTTTACCCTTGTATTTCAAAAAACATACCGTAGTAATTAGTACCTGTCCTGTGTTTCTCATGAGAGTAGCACGTTCCTTAAGAAGAGACTGTTCGTGGGACCCACCACCCTCTTCTATATCTAATCTTGCTCTATCAAACTCACGAAAATCTTCAAGCAATGATGCATGCTCTCTTTTAGCTCTAAGACTAGAACGAAGTCGATTGAACTCCTAAAATTTTAACAAAAATTTCCATTTCTCATGATGAATTTCTTGATGTTTAGATGAAAAACAGAAAAAGGAAGTGTACCTGAGTGAGATCATGATGAATTTCATGATGACGAGTCAATGTATGAGAAAAGATTTCTGATCCACCTGATGACACCCACGCTTGCATTTGGGAAATTACTTGTTGTAGGTGTTTAAGTAGCTGTTCTATACTCGATCCAAGGTTACTACTCTCGTTTCCATCATCGACTTTTGTAGACACTAGTTTACGATATAAATGCATTTGATCATCCAACTCTGCTTCAAGATTTCTTGCCTACAGAAACATCCATAAATATATGAGATCATGAAACACTAAAGGAGTCAATGTCATACATCATAAACAACTCAATAGTCGACAAGCGAAAAGATGAAGAAAGTTCTTTTCTCCATTTCCTAGCAGCTTCAGAATGTGTGGAGTGTTTTGTAATAGTTAATCAGTTGAAACAATCCCGTATAGTTGTGGATCTATGTATCTACATGACTGATATAACAATTTGTTCTTACTATCGATATAGGAAATCAAAATCAAAATCAAAATCAGAATCAGATTCATCATAGAGTACTTAAGCAATGGTTACTTTTTCTAAGAAGATGTAAATCTAAATGACAAAAATGTGAGATTCAACCAGTAAGAAAGCTTCAATCCTACCACAAATCAATCATTTCTAACACTGACCAATGCTTAGAATCACAATTTCTCAACATCCGAACCAAATTGTTCCAGTCTAGATCCCAGTCTAGATCCCGCTAATCGTTGTCTATAAAAACCCTAACTAATTCAAACGTTCCCATGGACTAACGAATCCTAAAAACAACAAATGCTTGCGCTATACCCAAACGTAGCTCCATTCACACAAAATCGCATACAATTTAGGATAGCAGAGGCACAAAAATCGGAAAATTGAAATTCAACCATCAAAATAAAGATATGTAGAAACAAGAGGATCAAATACATAAAAACAAACCTGTTTTCGCAAGGAATCCCAAGAGCTTGGGGTATCCATTGGGAATCCAAAGAAGGGAGGAAACTGTGTTACTCCCGATCAATTTCGATAACTGTTTTAGAGAGAAAGAGACGAAGAGAAATTCTTTGGAATCGCGAGAGACCACAGACGCTTGAAGACGAAGGAAACTATTTCATTTGATATTACAAATTGATTATTCATTTTATATGTTTAAAATTGATTACATCCGAAATAAATAATTATATATCTATATTTGTTAAAATACAAAATCACTTAGTAGGGGTGTGCAAAAAAACCGCAAAACCGAGCCGAACCGGCCAATCCGAAACCGAAAAAACCGAAACCGAAAAAAACTGTAACCGAAAAAAACCGAAACCGAAAAAACCGGATATCAACGGGTCGGTTTTTGGTTTTGATAGTTAGGTATCCACGGATACCCGAACCGAACCGTTTGATAGTATATATATATATATATATATATATATATATATATATATATATATATATATATA